TTCCAGTTTGGATCTGTCCATGACCTCGTTGCAACCATCATCGTCGGAGTGTCTTCCTGTCTCTACCATTGTGTCTGCTTCAGTTTGATGGCTGGTGAGATTCATAACTTCAACTAGCATAGCTAAACCCTTCTCTGGTGAGTGATGGTTAAGACAGTCATCAAAGGAGACTCTTCTACTTCTTTTTGAGAAAAATGTATCCCCTCCCCCAATTTCCGAGACCTTAGCTTGTGCCCCAGTGGTTCTATAAAAGTAATCCTTTGCCTCTTTAAGGGATGGAAATAAAGATGAGTCCCCCATCATTTCTGAGTTTTCCTTTGAGAAGTCCAGTACTTGATTAAGAGATGCCTCATATTCATAAGTAGACATAATTGTTGAATTGTTAGGACCTACCAGGCTTGGAGTGCAGTCCATTAGGTTCAAAATATTGAACCTATTGTTTTGGCCTGTAGTGGGTTTCTTTTTCCATTCAAATTTTGATGGGCCCTTTACTGTCGGATTTCTTTCCTCCTGGGGGTTATGTGCACGGCTTTTTCCCTTTGTCTTTTTGCTCTTAATGGTTTCCCAGTTACCATCCTTCTCACTGTTGGAGCCCAGAGTACCCTTGCCGGAGGGACTTTTTCCGGTGGGAGTACTCATCTGAGTTTGGCAATGATGCCCATCAGAGTGACCCAGAAGATTACACTCTTTGCAAAAGTGAGGCTTATCTTCATATCTGCAATTTGTGTAAAAATCCTTTCCCCCATTCGTATGTGCAATTTGTTTGGGGCTGGTACAGAGATATCCATCTCTACGCAGATCCTAGCCCCCTCCCTTCTATCTTTATTAACAGTGTAATCATCTAATTTTACAGGTCTACCCACTAGAGATGCTATGGAGAAGAGAGCCTAAAAGTCAATCAGATGCAGATGCAACTTCTCCAATGTAATCCAGACTGGGAAGATTGGAGAATCTGTATATTGATTGTGTTAGTTCCATATTGTGTTGGCATTATTTTTTGACAAACGAATAGATTTACCTAGAATTATTTTAGATATTTTATTTAGACTTAGAGTTCTAGCATGTGAAGAAAGAGAAAGAGGAAAGAGCTTGAAGAAAGAAGTCTAATCCTACTTGGTTTACTATTCTTGAAGAGGAAGGCATGGTTGAGACTCCTAAGCACACTCTAACAAGGTTAATATGCTCTATATATTATCTACACCCTCCCTTAGGGGTGCAAAAATATGAAGAACCTGAATCAAGTTCGATCAAAAAGAAAAACAAGGTGCAAAATTAGACAGTGCAAAGTTTCTGGACAGCCGCACAGATTTGATCATCGCCGGAGATCTGACCGTTGGATTTTGCTGAAATTTTCAGAGGGTGTTCTAAACACATAGAGTTTCAACGAGTTAAAATTTCACGTCAATCGGAGTTACGGATCTTCTGTTATCAAAGTTACAATCTACACATCGTTGCTGATTTTTTGCAGAAAACGCAGCCCTGGTTTTCTTGTTGGTTGGAGTACCAAATCTTGTCCGATCGTGCTGAAATTTTAGGAGGAGTCTAAGGACTCGTGGAGCCTCAATCTGAACGGTGGAGATTGAATTCTAACGGTTCAATCTTGATTTATGAGCTTCGGATCAGCCTGCATATTTTAGTAGATCAAGGAGAATCTTTATTTGAAGGTGTATTGGAATCTACGTCCTTGAAGAAGATCTTTGAGAAGGTGTAACAAGCCGTGGAGATAGACGCAAACTGAGTTTGTCGTCAAGTCATTCGTAAGTAGACAAATCAATACATTAGAAGGTTCTGTTGTGATTGATTGTGTAATTCCTACGGTGATTTAGTGGAAGGGCTATTACACGGACGTGGGCCTTGCAGACGTAGGAGAATTTGCTCCGAACTGCGTGAACAATTCTGGTGTCTTGCTTGCTGTTTTTACTTTATTTTCTACGTGTGTGCTTGTGACAGAGAAGTGTTATAGCACACTGTCCGTCATCTGTTACTGTGACAGTGCTGCAGCATATTCTCTACAACATAGTTGATTGTTTTGTTTGCATAGCTTGTGTTTGGTGTTATCCGCTGCGCCCCACGAACTTACAGATTGTACTCTCTAGTCCATTTAAAAACGTAAAAAGTGCTTCCATTAGCGTACCATTTTCTTCTCTGTAAAAACCTGATGTAGTCATCTTCATTCTTGAAAGTAAACAGTATGTCCCTTGAGTTGATTCTTCTAATCTTGAAATTGCTTAAACCCACCCTTAGCATGAATGCCTTTAATATTGATAAGTGCTGCTCCTTATTGAACCTTCCAACTGCTGAGAAGTTCATTTTGCTCTCCAGTATGTCCTCTTCTTCTACCGTAAAGCTGATTGAAGGGATTCCATTATAGAACCCTTCCCTTCTACCCAGCTCTTTGACTGAATTTTGAGCAAAAAGTTGAGAAAATAGTTTGATAAACTGTGAAGGATTTTTCTTGGTTCCCTTTTCCGGTAGATATGCCGGAGAATTGGCCGGAATTCTCTCCCTTCTCTCTAGAACCATTATATATATATATATATATATATATATGATTGACTCCAGTCAGATGACACCTTACGGTGAGATGATATGCTTTAATGAGATGACGCCAAACTCATCACATTACATTACATTGCAAAGCTCACCAATGGTCAATGCAAAGCTCACTTCAGATAAACAAAATAAATAATGATGTGATTGATCTTGGCGGTAGATGGGGACACGAGATGTCAGATGGATATGTGATGGTTTTGAACTGTTTAATAATTATTTTAAAAATGAACTATTGATTGTGATGTAAGACTATTTATTAAGCATCCACAATTTGGTAAACTCTGTTACTGTTTCTAATTATTTTATGGTGATAAAATAAAGTTTCAACAATTAAAGTACTTTAAATTTTTACATTACTAAGTTAATACTTAAGTCTGAAAGAGGCTGCAGAACTTGACGAATTTGGGGTGTTACGGTGAGAAAAAAATTAAAGGACGGATGAAGTATGTATTAAAAAGTCATTGTGCATTAGAACTTTCTCCCTTCGAATCCATTCTAAAAGTTACTTTAAATCCTGATTGTTTAAAAGCCCCTATTTGTCTTTCTGTTTGTAAATGAAGATATATAGGACAAAATATAGTCTTGAGAAATTATGAAATAGATATGATATATTTAGATTTTCTCTCTATTAATATTTGTCTCTTTTTCTTGGAAATTATATTGTAATATACTCCGGGGTATTATTTAGACATTTAGAAAATCTAATGGATAAAACTATTTGTACTCCAAACTTTTGTACCACATTTGTACACCGCAGATTTTTTTCTCTCTATTAATATTTGTTTTTTTTGGCGATTATATTGTAATATACTCCGGGGTATTATTTAGACATCTAGAAAATTTAATGGATAAAGCAACTTGTAGAAATCATTTTCTACATTTGTGTTGTCAATGGAAGGTCAAAGGGAAAATAAATTGACTTCCCGATTTTAATTTTAATCGAAAAGTCGTTTCCTCCGCTGGTACATGCGGCTCTCCTACCGCCTTCATCATCTTCATTCTTCTTCAGATCGAAGAGCTCTTCCTTCTCGATCCAGGTATGCACCCTTCTCGTTAATTTGAAAGATCAATTGATGTTCAATTTACAGATTTCACAGGATTATAAACAAGAAAAGTATTGGCTCAGGTATTGCGCTGGGGATCATTTACATTTTTTGGGGCTTTTTCTGATTCCTATAATCTAGAAACAATTAGCAGATTCCACTTCGTAACTGCTAGGCATAATATTGGTTCAGGAAAGTTTTCAGCTAAAGATGGTCAGTGTTCGAATGTGGTGTTTTTTCCTTTTATTTTACTGGACTTTTTGTTTCTCGCAACTTTATTCAATTTTTTCAGTATTACTTCATTTTTTCATGTAATTGATTATTGTCTCATTTTGAATGGATTATTTTTCATTAATTCCAGATAAGTTATTCATTTTAATTGAACATGTTCTTCTAATTTGTTATAATGATTAATCATTTATGGATTAGCCAAATACTTTATCCTCTAGAAATTTAGGATGCAAAATATAATAAAATACAATCAAGATTCAAAGAAGTTCAATCTAGTGAAAGTTATTCCAATTTGACTTCAAATGATCTTCCGTTTTCAAATCATCCACAAAATGAAGCTATTTTTTGAATGAGAAATCATGTGTAAGAAATCTTGACTCTGAATTATCACTATATTTGAATAATATATGCTGAAAGTTAACTTCATTGTGATTTTCATAATGTAAGTACGTAATTGTCATTTTCATTATTATGTATAGATTGATACATGGATGGCAGTGTTGCAGATAAGGTTCCCATAAGCTGATTGTTCTAGGTCCATCTCGCAAAACCTCATTTGATTCTCTCAAATGTCTCTCTCCCTCTTTTCGTGTTCCCAGTTCTTTTCTGCAATTCCTTTCGTAAGCAATGTGAGGTTCTTTCTCTTTAAAATCATTATATCATCTTAAGTCTTCATATTTTCTATAACTCTCTCTATCATATTTAGTCTCAGGAAGCTAATGACAAGCCCAATTCCTTGTCATTTTGGAGGAGAAAAGTGAACAGAAGGTTTGAGGTGAGTGCTGGGGCTAAGCGAATAGTTTATGGTAGAGAATGCAGAGAGGGATTGCTGATTGGAATCAACAAACTTGCTGATGCTGTTTCTATCACGTTAGGGCCTAAAGGTGAATTGTTCTCGTATATCTCTCAGTTTTTTTAATTGCTTTTTGTTGAGAGTGCAGAGGATATCTTGACTAATCAGTGATGATGAATTAATGCATTAGTGTTGCACTTCCTTTTGGTCAAGCTATAAATTTCTGACCTCTATGCCACTAATATGGGAATAGGATACTACTATTTTAGAACTTCATTACTAAGTATATATCTTCATGGTAACGAATTTGTTTCGGGTATATAAAAGAATTTTCAGAGTTGTTTATGTGGGGGAAATGATTGTAGTTGAAAGAGTTGATCTTATTGGGGAAGAGTGGGTTGAGAGGATATCCAACTTTGCATGGTTGATTTTGAACAATAGTTGTGTGTTCAAACTATGCAGTGAAGATTTCGCTTGGTTCACTTTAGACTATAACATACTTCCTTCGTCCCATAAAGATGTTCTCATTTTGACTTTTAGGCAATTTAAGGGAAGGATATTTTTGTATTGACTTTCCAAAAATACCCTTGATGTGATAGGTAAAAGTAGGAAGTGATGGGTAGATTATTAGTAAAAAGGTATGATGTGATATGTAGGGTAAGAATTAGTGCGGGTAAAAGTGATTTTTAATAGAAATAGGAAGGACTTTGTGGGACAAAAAAAAAGAGAGGCAGAGTTCATGGGACGGAGGGAGTATATATCAAGAAGTCATCTGTGCATCAGAACTTCCTACATTTTTATACATTCTAAAACTTGCTTGAAATCCTGATTGTTTAAAAGCCTCCTTTTGTCTGTTTGACTGTAAATGAAAAATACAGGCCGGAATGTAGTCCTCTCTGAAGAGGATGCTGTTAAAGTAATAAACGACGGTGTTACTATATCTCGAGCCATTGAGCTTTCAGATACAGTAGAAAATGCTGGGGTGATGCTCATTCAGGAGGTTAGGACTGTAAAGTTGTTGGTTGTTATACTAATGATTGACCCATCACCCATCAAATACAAGTAAATTTCCTTTGCTGTAGGTTGCAGCTAAGACAAATAGTTTAGCTGGTGACGGTACAACCACTGCCATTGTTTTGGCCCGTGAAATGATAAAGGCTGGGTTGCTCGCTGCTTCTTATGGTGCTAATCCTGTTTCTTTGAAAAGAGGAATGGAGAAGACCGTGAAGGAATTGATTAATGTTCTGAAGAATAATAGCTTTCCTGTAAAAGGAAATAATGATATAAAGGGTACTTTTTGAGTTTGCTTTTAATTTAACCTTCACAATTCTTTCATTTGTTATTACTGTATGGGGGAGTGAACCTCTATGTCTTTTTCATTCAACAGCCATTGCAACAATATCATCCGGAAATAATGAATATATTGGGGGCATAGTAGCTGATGCAATTGAGAAGATTGGCTCTGATGGAATTATAGTTATTGAGTCTTCCACATCGACTGAAACCACCATCATTGTTGAAGAGGGAATGAAGGTATTCATGTGTGAGCTTTTTATACATGCAGTTGTTGAAACTAGGACGTCAAGCACACCTTAGGCGAGATTTTACAATTGCAAATATGATCCAAGAATGAGGTGGCCCTTAACTCTGTTCCATGGCAATAAATAATTGAGTTAATCACAACCCCAAAACCTAATACTCGTAGTAATCTGCTAAGGCTTTAGTTGCTTGTGTCTAGGAAGCACAGTGCTATTTGAACCATCATCATAAACACCTCAATCCCAATTGATTGGAATAGATGGACAAAAAATTGTATTGTTACTTAATTATTTTGAATTACGGAGTAGTTGATACTATGAATTCAAGCAAAAGCATAGTGCCTAAGTATCTTTCTGTCACAACATGCCACACAGGGACTAAAGGAATAATGAGATGAAATTCTAAAATCAACAAATTATAGGATTCATCCACTTGTATTTCAAATATCATGAGATGCCAATGAATTGAGATAGTGTTTAGTCATGTTCCATTGCAAAAATGATATTGTAAAATCAAAATGCATATCATGGAACATGACAATACCAAAATGAAATTCTAACATCAGTAAAGAAGTTTTTATTTGATCATTACTTATGCCTTGTTTAAACTCCCCGCATTTGGGTACACATTTTACATGTTTGTGTTTCATTGCCTTCTTGACTTGTATCCAGGCATTCTTTTAATGCAGATTGAAAAGGGTGGGTTTATGTCACCTCATTTTATTACTAATAAGGTGAAATCTACTGTAGAATTTGAAAATGCAAGAGTTTTGGTGACTGACCAAAAGATATCAACAATAAACGAAATTGTTCCCTTGCTAGAGAAAGTCATTCAATTGAGTGTTCCGCTTCTAATTATTGCCGATGACCTTTCATGGAAAGTATTGGAAACACTTGTCACTAATAAGATGCAAGGAATGCTCACTGTTGCTGCAGTAAAATGCCCAGGCTTCGGAGTTGGAAAGAAAGCTCTTTTGCAAGATATTTCTTTCATGACAGGTAAGCCAACCATCTTTTTTCCCTGAAATTATACAAAAACGATTCTTAGGGTCGTTTCTTTTTTATGCCCTCACATTCCATATTTCATTATCACATTTTAAACAGGTGCTGATTTTCTATCGGGTGACTTGGGGCTCACTCTTGAGGGAGCAACTTCTGATCAGCTTGGTATTGCTCGAAAGATAACCATAACGAAAAATTCGACTACTATCGTTGCTGATCCATCAACTAAACCTGAAATACAGGCTAGAATATTGCAAATGAAGAAAGATCTTGCGGAAGCGGATAGTAAATATATGTCAGAAAAGCTCTCGGAAAGAATAGCAAAACTATGCGGTGGCGTGGCTGTAATTAAGGTAAACTTGTACATTATGTAAACCTTATTGAACCATTTATGTGCCTACACAATGCTTGTAAACTCTTGGGTAGTTGCTAGATTACTTGAATACTCCGTACTTCATATTGAGCCACACCATTATGCATGTTAGTCTTAGTTGCCCTTTTCATGATGGATTAGGAATAGTTTAGATTGCAATGAATTGAATTTTAACTTGAAATTAGTTGATTACTTGATGGTAATACCTGCCCCTGTTTAGAGAGGAAAAGGGACAATAAAAGTCATGATATGACGTGTAAGTGGAGTTCTACTAGTCTCCTGCTTGTTTCAAATTGGACTGCATGTGTGCTGTTTCCTTTTAAAATTATGAAGTTATTTCGCAATATGTTGAAAATTCTTAGAAGCAAAACTGTTTCCATGTATAAAGGTTGGAGCTCACACCGAGTTGGAATTGGAAGATCGAAAGTTAAGAATTGAGGATGCAAAACATGCCACATTTGCTGCCATGAAGGAAGGTATTGTGCCTGGTGGCGGAGCCACATACATACACCTCTCAAAACAAATACCCATTGTTAAAAGCTTTCTCGAAGATCCAGACGAACATATTGGTGCTGGCATAGTAAAACAGGTACTTTGTATGCACCTTTTTTTCACTCGCACAGTGTAGGACCAGGATGAGTTGAGATCTATCCTTATAACATTGTAATCATGGAATATGAGTTGAGACAATTGATTCAGTCATATCTCCTTATTGGCCATGTCCTCTTCACAACTATCTCAAAAAGGAATAGTAAGATAATATCACAAAATTTACTTCTTCAGTTTCAGTCAATATTCCTTGTGAAGAACGTGCTATTAAAAGTTGTATTAGTTTTTAAATTTTTTGTGTGCAAAAACAAGAGCTCTGCATGTGTTTTCTCTTTGAAAAGTCGCAGTACCAGTAATAATATTTTGTCGCTTTTCAAATTTCAGGCACTTCTTGCTCCAGCAAAACTCATTGCAACCAATGCAGGATTTGATGGCGAGGTAGCTGTACAGAAAATCCAAGCTAGTGACAGTAGAATGGGGTTCAATGCCATGAATGGGAAGTATGAAGACCTTTTAGCTGCTGGTGTGATTGACCCCTGCCGAGTATTGAGGTGTGCCCTTGAGAGTGCCGTGTCTGTCGCTGGCAGAGTTCTAACAGCGCAAGCCATAATGGTGGACAAAACAAAGAAACCTAAGCCAAGTGTCCCTGAGCTTCCCGGCATAACTTGTTAGTGTGGGATGGTGTCATTGTAAACGGCTATTAACAACACCTCACTTTAGACTACATACGGAGTAGAGTGAAATGGAGGTTGTTGGATTTGTTTTTTGGTAGAGAATATTAAGGTCCATGTGAAAACAATTTTGAGTTTAGTGCTAGACAATGATGGTTCTTTGGAAATGATTTTGGCTCTTTTCCTATACAATACTTGTGTGAATTCGAGCACAACGATTCAAACGCCAATGAGCTTTAGCAAAGCAATAGTAATTTGACGGGTTTTTTTGAATGCCAATGCTAGTATGAATTTAAGTATTTTAAAAATAGAGCTCATAACTCATTTGGTAGACCCAAATCTGAGGACATTGAGTCATCAACATTAATTCGTAATGCGATTTCAAACTCACCCAAATCAATCCAACCTAGCTTGACTGGTTGATTTGTCAGCTCTAATTGGAGAATTCGGATGGGCATGGATGGGCATGGCAGTCGGCCACATGGTCCGGGGAGGAGTCCTTAGTTTAGAACAATAGTTTGGATACTTAGGGGAGAAGATATGCAATCATTCTCATACAATCAATACACAAGATTGTCCATGTCTGAAATTTTCTCTATACCCGAGTCTCATATATCCATCAATTGCAAAGATGGGTGTTAGTTAAGTGATTGTTATAATGATGAACATTAATTGGTGGGTGCAAAGATGAACACTGAAAAAGTAAAAGTTTCTATAGTACATATAAACCTTTTTCCATACTTCTAATTATCATTTTAAACATTGAGTTTTTTATGCATCAAGTTTTAGAACTAGCTTACAAAACAACACAAAAATAAATAAATAAATAAATCCTCCGTAGTACGTAATTACAACGAATTCAAAATTAAGCTCAACTTAGAGCTTTTTTTTCTTCATCAGGGACACATGTTGAAGAAGATGATTGCAACATTGCATTGGGAAACATCATCATCATCATCACCATCATCTGGGTTTAGTGACCCTCTGGATGGCAGATAATATAGAGAGGGTTAGTTATATTGATCTCTCCACAAGAGGAAAGGAAGGGATAGAAAATGCAGAAGAAAAGAGAGAACACTTACAGTTGGGGCATTCATAGGTCGCCGTTGTCTATTTGGCAAACCACCACCACCACCTGATTCTGGTAGCAAATCCGGACTGCGCAGCTTATGAAATGTCTCCAATGCTTTTGTCACAAACGGGCGCACCACGTTTGTTTCCATTGCAGATACATTTTTGAGCTGCAAATCCATGAATTCGTATGTAGTGTTGTAAATAAAAACAAAACACAATAGTAGAATCTTTACACTATGTTTGGTTCAAGGAATTTGGAAGGGAGAGAAAAGAAAATGACTATGTTTGTAAGGGTTAGTTGCCTAAAATGACTTCTATAAGAAAAAGCATTTGGTATTTACTGTGTCCGGAAAAAAAACATGTTTCAAGAGCTTTTTCCGTCCCAATAAAGTCAATAACTGTTATTATTCTGATTAATCTTTGTGCCTAGTTAAACTGAGAACAATTATTTGGGATAAAGTGAATAATAATAATTATAGTATTTATAATAATTATAATTATAATAAATTAATAACAGCAACAATAATAACAACAATATTAATTGTAATGGTAACAAGAATAATATGAAATATACACCTAAATAATTTTTTTATGTCATTGTTGAAAGAAACTGGAAGGAGTTGGAAAAAATTGGAATAAGTTATAAAAAACTGGGATTAGAAGAAACATGAAGGATATGGAAAAGGAGATGAAAAATACTACTCCGTAAAAGTTAAGAGTTAGAACCGAAGAGAAGAGACAAGACTAGTTATTCTGTCAATTCTATTATTCAAGCTATTCCCTTGATAAGCATAATAAGCTGATTAAAGCTACCAAACAGGGCCATAACGTGTTTTCTTTCACATTATAAAAGGAAAGATGTTGATCAAAGACAAAAATATATACCTTCACTCCAGGAGAGAGCTCCGTTATTTTTTCCAAGCCAGTTCCTAGTTTGTGGAAACGTACATCCTTGATATCCTCAATTAGAGATCTCACCTAAGGAAAAAAAAACTTGAAAATTCTAGGGAAAAAAGCATAGGTAAAAGGACATAAAGTCAAGGACTAGCTGAAAGGGGACTAACCATATAAACATCTTGTATGTCCTCACGCGCACTACCATCAGCATTTTTTTGTTAACATAGCAACTTAGAATAGTAATGAATATTGGGGAGAGAGATTAAGCAATGATAAAAAAAGACTTACTGATCAAAAAGAAGTCTTGAGATTTCAACATAATGAAATGGCAATGGCTCAAATCCTTCAAAATCTCTTTCCGCTTCCAGGACCTGAGTTAACTTTTCTACTTGATATGAAAAATAGAACCAAATCAACTAAGAGCAATAAGATCTTTAGTTACTGAATATTGTTTTTAATAATTACCATACCTGAGATTGATCTAGACTTCCTAATAGATTACTCACCAATAGACATCCACTCAGGAGGTTTGATAGTACACTTTCCTCTTTTTTTCAGGGCCACTGCTAGCCACAGTGGCACTTGTATAGGTATTTGTGGGTGAAAAGGACCAAAATCTCCCTGTCAACTCAATAAATGATAACCCCAAATTATGAGATATCAACAAGTATAATTGAAATAATTTGTAAGATCAAACACATACACAGATCAAATTGAGGGGTTCCATTCTCATGTTGGGCACAACTTCAACCATCTCATCCTCTGCAAGAAACTCAAGCTGCAAAATTTAACAACATACTACAATTAGTTTAAAAAACAGAACGAGATTTTGCATAGTTTCGATTTTCAAGAATAAGCAGTTCGAAGTAAGAACTGATTCAAAAATCAACACAACCTCAGCAGCTGAAATGGCAGATGAATGTGCATCAGATTGGTTGGCCATTCCTTGAGATTTGAAGATATAAAGTTGTACTCCTACAGTGCTTTTGAAGAGAACTGTAGTACAAATGGAGTAAATGAGCCCAAATACATTTGTTAACTTGTTACTTATGATGCCAATCTATGAAATTTCATCTTCTTATTCCTTCATAGAAGTTTGTGAAAGGAAGGGCATCCAGTAAACTGTCATTATGATATTGGCATAAATTTCAGAGCCAAATAATTTTAGAAAATCAATACACACTATGAATTTCATACTAGTGATCCCAAAATAGTTGTGAATACAACAACGACAACAACAGCATCTATCAATGTACAAAGTAAAAAGGCAGCCCTATTTTCCTGCCTATTATTAAAGGGAACAGCTGGAAGCAATACCACGCCTCTTTTTTAATTAAAAATAAAAAAGATACAGTGAACCCGTGAACTATCAAGGCTCAGTGAGGTGCATATCCTTTAACTCATTATAAATACACACTAGAAGTGAGTTTTTTCTTACTGCCCAGCCTTCTCCTCAAGCAACCTCTTTCTTTGAGCATACATTTATGTTTCCTTTTTAGCCATCTTTGAACATACATTTTTGTTTCCTCTCAATTCCGATTTCAGCCATCTTTCACGGCATGGCCAACAAAATGACACCTTCAAGTGGGATATGCTCTGTTCTCCGTGGAGGTGCACATTCTCCATGCATATCGCGTTCCAGGATATGGTGTAATGAGAAAGAATTTATTATTTTTCACTTTGAAGTTATAAGATAAGTGTTTCAAAAATGGCCGACTATGTGTCTGGGACAAATAATGTGTAAAGCTTCTTGGAAAAAAAAAATACCATTATGATAGGGAACCTAATGGATGTGAGGTAAATTACCTTAAGATATCATTTAAATACGTTTATTGTTTTAAAAATTAGTAATCTAAAAGTGACATTCTAAGAAATAACATGCTATGCTAAAATAGTGATGAATAATTATAAGCTAAATTTTATGGCTGTGTGAGCGTAAGTGTTTACAATTTTTTGAGTGTGCAAGTCAGGTCGATGCCTCAATTACCCTCGACATTGGGAAAAGATGGAAGAGTTTGCTAGCACCTCAAATGGGGTGATTCTCAAGGAAGTTAACAATGGGAAATAGTTTGTTGCTTAGAGAACTCTAATTTAATTTGATGTATTAGTATTTGTGTCCCTTATCCCCAATGGGGATTATTTGTGTTACCAAAATTTGCTATGTAGGTGAATGTCATTTGCCTTTTTTATATCACATTTGTTGAGAATGCAGGGTTGCAAAACACCCTTTCTACCGATATTTTTAATTTGATTTGAATGTCCCGCCCTTGCAAGTTGCAACTATCAAATACTACTATTATTTGATAGTTGAATAACTGAAAGTAGTATTTCTAATAGAACTCTAAGGATAGAACTATCTATGTTTACACAAAGAGAGTAGTTACTATATTCCAAACTGCTTCCACACTCAGTTCTACCCACTCTTACATGTTTTAGGTTTTCCATTAATGAAACATTAGCTAGGGCTGAATAAAAATTAAATTATGGACCTGATCTCAATTCACACTTAATAAATAAAGCATATTATATTAGCAATTGGAAAACATTGAGAAAGGAAAAGTGAGTATGACGAGTTCAGATAATGTCTGGACAACATTGAAAAAGGGAAAGTGAGTATGCCCATTAGAAATCGACATCAAGAAAATCCAAACAGACCGATACTGTGGCATACAGTACAGGACAGCACTATTGTTTATGGCAGAAGATAACATCTAATTTGGGGAAGTTAAAAACATCTATTTGAGTAAACTTGATAAATACTAGGAGTAAAATGGACAAAGATCTTACTCGTGCTAACACTAAAAATTCAAACTATCCACATGAGAAAGTCAAGTCCTGAGGCATGCAAAATGTTATTAAAGTTGTTAAAATGTACAAAGAAACAAAATTTTAAAAAATTGTACCAAAAAAATGAAATTTTAAAAACAAACACATTGCAAAATAAAACTTAGGAATCAATTTTAGTCTTTGATGAACTTATGGTCTTAGCAAAATCAAAATACAGATATGAGCTATTGTGGCATACAAATGAAAAATGAAAAACGACTCAGCTTTTGTCTAACTAATACAAAAACTTGAGCAGCAAAGATTATAAAATGAAATAAATAAATATTGTTAAAATTTATAAATCTAAAGTTTATTAAATATTATAAAAAACCTCAGAAATATTAAATTCACACTATAATTAAAGATTTGTCTAATGTGCTTGAAGAAATAACATCATAATGCAGGGTTTGAATAAGCTAAGTAATTGGTTTACCATTTAAATGAACTGTATATGCCAAGGGATGCCACAGGCGAAGGAGTAAACTATATTGGTTTGGACAATACCTTAAACAGAAGAGCTGAGATAGCATGCATTCATATTCCTGCAAGAATATAACATCAATCCAAAAATCGTAGACCTACAGGTGAGCATCGAAACTTGCATTGGCTAACTATTACTCCACTATCAAAAGAATCACAAACAGTTTAAGAGCCATTTTGCTTTATTCCATCTTACTCCAAAGCCAAATAATAGTGTATGCTTGGTTCCATTGGAGAAGATGGAAATCCAAAATAATTGTGAATAAGGTGGCAAAAACTAGAGTTTAGCTAGCTAAAACCAAACGGTCAACTTCGGCCTGTAGTTTCAATAACTAAAAGAGCAAAAGAGTGTTTCATTTAAATTTTTACAGAACTAAGTACCTCATGCCATTGTCAGCTTTTTTATAAATGTAAAACGTCATTACATCAATCCATATACTAAACTTGCAAACCTGCCTATTCATAATCCAAAAGAAAGTACAAACTTTTTAAAACAATTACAACTAAAAATCCAAAAATCGTGCGCACGGATGCTAGTGAAGAAGTGTATAGTGAGAACAAGTCAAAGAAGAAACCTCCCGTCATTTTTAAGGCATTTGGATAATTAGTTATCTAGGTTTGTGGCTGCTTTGAATAGTTTGATAAAAAATCAAGCCTTTTAATGTACTTCAATGTGGTTATAATAAAACCTAAAATATCAGTGTAAGGATTGGAGAAAGTGATACTGATATCATCCTCCATATGATTTGCAATCTCCTAGCTCATATTTTCACCGAATCCAAACACACACGTTTCCTTAATCACGGGCCTGTTTGGCAAGCTTTAGCGGCAAACTTTAGCATTACGAAAAGGCTATCTAACGGCATCGTTTAAATCTAGTGGTTTCCAAGTTCATATGTACCATTAAAAAATTATACAAAACACTAACGCTAATTGAAAATGTTGTTTCCAAACAAAACCCACATAGAAGACACCGTACAAGCTTAACTTACCGTATATTTTCCACAGAACTACATGACTTGGAACAACTTATATCACCATTTGAACTTTTGAGATTCAAATATCACATTCAAAATAAACTAATTACTTACTTCAATTACTCGCATTAATCATTATTATGGCTAAATCCTTCATATCCCACATTCTACCACTGTTAAAATACAACTCTCTTGAGTCTAATTTTGAAATCTCATGAATATAATTCACCCCCTAATTTCTTAAAAAATTCCAATCTTAAAAACACTGTCAATTTTCTAAGGTAGATCAAGATCCTAATTAGGAACCAGAGCAAAAAAAGTTAGTTCCTGCCTGGAAATTACACAAATACTCCGTAGAATTAAAGAAACTGGACTAATCAATGACAAACAGAGAGTTAAAATCACTACCAGGGCCGGTCCTGAGAATTCAACGGTGTGGGCCGACTTAAAAAAAAGGCCCTAAATATAAAGTCTAGCAAATTAACATATGTAAACTAATTATATATAAATGATAATTAAAGTAATACTATTAGAAGAAAATAAATAAATGACCAAAAGCGTTTCTTATCCGGCTTGATACTTTCTCAATCTTCATCACGTTTTCTCTTTTTACGTTTTTGACTACCGAATAGATGTTTAGGACCTATAGCTATTGAATTATTTCTGAAATAAAATTCAAATTCATAAATTTTACTACTTAGTAAAATCAAATATGGAAAAGCAAGCAAATGAATTCATATATCATAAACTCATATCAATTGATTCAATTCGTCATTTTTTCAGTTTTTTTCTTTTTCAGGTTTCAGTCTTTTTATATATATATATCTTAAATTCATGTCAATTTTTCAATTTTTCAATTTTTTTTAGCTTTTCAGTTTTCAGTTTTTTTGAATATATATCATAAATTCAAATCAATTCATCCAAATCAAATAAAGAATATATGGAACCATTAATTCATTCATATTTCATAGCAATTAGCAAAGATTTCAAACTAAAAATTAATAATTAACCCTAGACTTTAAATCCAAAGAATGAAACAATGAAAGAAAGAAAATTAGAAAAAAAAATTTACTAAATTGGAAAGATAGTGAATACGGAATACCTGGAGGGTGCAGCGGCGTCTCTCTACCGGCGGCGTTCTCAGCAGTCGGCACTCTCTTTCAGATTCGGTTTCGGCAGTAGGCTTCGTCTCCAGCTTCTTCTGCGCCTCTGCTTAGTGGTCTAGGAAGTAGGAAGGGATGGGGCGGCTAATGAGATGGGCTAAATCTGAGGAGGTTTGGGGAGAATGGCGTGCGGGTACAGGGACACGTGTCAGAAACTACACGTGGCGCGTGGGTATCCCAGATAAGAGGAAAAGGCGTCGGAGAAGACGGGATACTCCGGTGGCCTCCTTGGATTTGGAGTTGTATGAGGCGGGAGACGAGATGTGAAATGCAATCTCTGTATTCCCCTTCTTTTTTGGGAAATTTGCATTGAATAGTACTAAAATTACCTAAATATTCCATATAATTTAATTATGACCAGTGAGAAAAATAACGTCTAAGTAACGATGGACATTAATTTAATAATAACTAATAGATAATGACCAATAATCCTACATTAGGAAATAAAAACATATGATCCTATATTGAAAAAGTTATTATGTTTTAGTTCTATTTAGGTAAATTACCTTTTTTTTTCCCGTAACTGTATCCATTCACTTTTCCCTAGAATTACGATTAACTGAAATTACTAAGAGCATCAACAATGCTGCAAAAATGCAATGTCACACGGTGACATAAAACATTTTAACAATAAAAAATAATTCAGTCAGCGTGTGACAAGTGAATGGAGTGACAAACTCTACGGTGGCAATTATTATTTTTATCACTTTTTACATTGTTTTTTATGTTTTTAAAGCATAAAAAATTTTTAATATTTATTTTATCAAAAAATTATTTTACTTTCTTATACATTTTTCCATAAAATAATTTTTTTTAAAAAAAAGAAAAAAAAGGTGGAATGCCACACCCATGCCTCACCAAGTAAGGCATTTTGGCCTTGTCATGAAAAGAAGAAGTTGATGTGTCAGTGCAAGGCTGCACATGCTCTAAATTTCAATTCGGTTCAAGAATTTTTTATGAGCAAAATTAAAAAATAAAACTTATATATTTTAAAACTATATCAAAAGTTCTATAAAATAAAGACTGACATGAATATTTTTTTTGTTAAATAACTAACGAAAATAGATAAAGAAACAATTAAGGTTTGAGCATATAAATAGTGTCTAAGAAGATTATTTTAAAACGGGTGAAATACTTATTTTCAAGAAACTAAATATTCATTTTTGAGTTCATGAACACTCATTCATTTAAAATTTAGTTATGCTCAAAAAAAATATTCGTAATGATATATGTAAACATCACAAATTCACAATATAAAGTACTCCCGTTGTGTACCAAAAGAGACTATTGCTATTTGGATTGTCCCTAGGTCCCACCTGGATCCACTTCATTTATCTCAATTTGACATATTTACCCTTAAAAATATAAAAAAAAGGACTTTAGATGCAAGCCAAACCATAAGAGTAAAATTGTTCATTTAGCATAAAAGGGGCCAATTTAGCCAAAATGGGAATAGATATAACAACAATTTTTATTGTTTCAATTAGTTTTATACTCTCTTACTTCTTCCGTTTTTTTTTTGCACTCTTACTTCTTCCGTTAATTTTACACATACCCTATTACTTTTTCAGTCACTTTTATACTATCATTTTTATTTTAATCTATTCACTCCTAGCATTTCAATCACTTCTAAATTTATAACATTCCCTCAAAAAGTAAAAATACCTTTTTTAGGTGACAAAGAAAGTAATGCGGAGTATATATTGGGAGTTGAATTTGTGACTCGCTTTTTGGAGGGTCATCCATTGGCCAATTTGATGATATGTTGTTTCTCAAATAATTTTGGAGTGTGATAGATTACAGGTTGGATTTATGGATTCATACCATGTGTATATATGTCACTAATTGTTAGGTCGTGTTATTAACATACCATATACAGAGTAATTTTTATTTACTTATAGATCATAATTTAATTTTGATTAACAATAAATAATCAAAAATAGACTATCAAATGATAACACTTGACATGATAGTCATCACTCCCATCACGGTCACGGTAAGGGGGGTGTCCCACGTCGTGGTGGACGCCGATCTGGCACTGCGTGGCGATCACGGAGCTCCCACTCTAGTCGATTTTATAGCGTGATCCTTATGTATATTCTTACTCCAGACATCTCTTCCAAGTAAAAAAGTTGAATCCCAACTTTAGTACTGACCCAAACATAGGTTAGGAGGTAAATGAAGGTATAATCACGATATGGTTGACAGAAGCTAGGGTTTCTACCTGTTACGTGCAATAATCTCGTGCAAAGTATGACCATTATTTATCCTTCTTTTCAAGAGTTGAACTGAGGTTTGACACTTCACTTTTAACAACTCGGTTCCTAAATGACATCAGCCACATATAAGACAATACTCCTACGAACTTTAAAGTAGGGCTTATAGTGCTAACAAATACTGTAAAATATTAAAACATAGGGGGGGGGCTTGCACTGTCAATATTTTTATTTCGAGAATAAAAATATTACGTAGTATAAGCTTTATGTCTTAGTTCAATTTAAATAAATTCATCTGAAAGAATTTTTATGACATGTTTGGAAATTAGAAATTTGATTTCAAATTCAGATTTGACTCAAATTACATGTTGGAAAATCTTAAAACTTTGATTAAGATTTGAAGAAAATTTCTCTAATTCATTAAAAAGCTTAATTGCAAATCCATATATCTTCCCTTGTCTTTTGAAACTCAAGAATTCAAATTTTTGGAATTTTAATGAAATATTACAGAGTAGTTTACAAGTACTAACTAAAAGAAATTTAGAAAAATTAGAAAAGTTTTTAAAAATTGAAAAAAAAGAAGAGATTTTGAAAAGTTTGAAAATTTAAAAACAAAATCATAAAAAAAGGAAGATGTTTAGGGTACACCAAAGGTGTACTCCAAATGTACACAATATGCCTCTTTATCATTCATTTTTTTAGTTATTTTTTTTTTTTTGAATTACATGCAAATTTTTATGGTTATGCAGAAGGTGAGGACACTTGAGGTACACAATTTGGTGTACTCCTACCATTTTCGAAAAAACATGCCCTTGGGTTACAGTCCTTGCTCAATAAAGTTTCCAACGTTACCCCCGTCGGAACCATGATTTGATATGAACCTTCCAGCTCCTCTTCAACCATCGTCATCATCAATTCAGGAACACCCAAAACCCGCCATCCTCAAAAAATGCATTGCGCTCTTGCTCTCATGCGCCTCCTCCACCCACAAGCTCCGGCAAGTTCACGCCTTTTCTCTTCGCCGTGGCGTCCTTCCATCCAACCCAGACATGGGCAGGTACTTGATCTTCACCCTGGTTTCGCTCTCGGGACCAATGTCGTACGCCCAAAAAATCTTCGATCAAATCCAAAGCCCTAACATTTTCACTTGGAATACAATGATTAGAGGGTATGCGGAGAGTGACGACCCGGACCCTGCAATTCGGATCCACTCCCAGATGTGCTTGAACTCCATTGCCCCCGACACTCACACTTACCCTTTTCTCTTCAAGGCCGTCGCCAAACTGATGGCTCTCAGGTTTGGGGAGAAGGTCCATTCCACTGCGATTAGAAATGGGTTGGAGTCGTTGGTCTTTGTTCGGAATGCTTTGGTGCATTTCTATGGCGTCTGTGGTCAGGCTGAGAGTGCACACCAACTGTTTGTGACAATGACTGAGAAGAATCTTGTGGCTTGGAATTCGGTGATTAATGGGTATGCTCTTAATAGCAGGCCAAACGAGACTTTAACTCTTTTTAGGGAAATGGAGTTGGAAGGTGTTCGGCCTGACGGGTTCACCTTGGTGAGTTTGCTCACTGCTTCAGCTGAACTGGGGGCTCTGGCTTTGGGTAGGAGGGCTCATGTGTATATGGTGAAAATGGGATTAGATAGGAATTTGCATGCTGCCAATGCCCTTCTTGATCTTTATTCGAAATGTGGAGAGATAAGGGAAGCAAAACAGGTTTTCCATGAGTTAGAGGAGAAGAATGTCGTTTCTTGGACTTCTTTGATTGTCGGATTGGCTGTCAATGGATTTGGTGATATGGCTCTTGATCTTTTTAAGGAGATGGAGGAGGAAGGGTTCGTTCCAACCGAAATCACATTTGTTGGCGTGCTTTATGCCTGTAGCCATTGCGGGATGGTGGATGAAGGATTTTCCCACTTTGAGAGAATGCAAAAAGAGTTTGGAATTAAGCCGAAGATAGAACACTATGGTTGTATGGTCGATCTATTGGGAAGAGCCGGTTTCGTGAATAGAGCATATGAATACATCAAAAACATGCCTTTGGAGCCCAATGCCGTGATTTGGAGAACCCTGCTTGGCTCGTCTTCTATACACAGAAATTTTGAACTAGCAGAAGTTGCAAGAAACCAACTAATGCGGATGGACCCCACGCATTCCGGCGACTATGTGCTCCTCTCAAATCTCTATGCATCAGGGAGACGGTGGTCGGACGTGCATATGTTGAGGGAAAAAATGCTTCAAGGAGGGGTGAAGAAAGTGCCGGGCCACAGTCTGGCCGAGTTGGGAAACCACGTGCATGAATTCGTCATGGGAGATTTATCACATCCACAAACGCGACCCATTTATGCAAAGCTTGCAGAAATGACCAAACTGTTGAGGATTGAAGGGTATGTCCCTCACACACTGAATGTGCTTGCTGACATAGAGGAAGAGGAGAAGGAGACTGCGCTTTCATATCACAGCGAAAAAATCGCAATTGCTTTCGCATTGATCAATACACCACCCGGGACTCCTATCAGAATCTTGAAGAACTTGAGGGTTTGCGCAGATTGTCATCTGGCCATTAAGATCGTATCCAAAATCTATGGCCGAGAGATTGTTGTTAGAGACCGGAGTCGCTTCCATCACTTCACAAACGGCGATTGTTCTTGTAAAGATTATTGGTAATCTACTCTTTGTTCTTCACTCAACTGTGATGATCACTGTCTCTTTGTCACTTGACTCACTTCAGAAACAATAATCTATCATTCGGTTTAAGTACACCATAATACAGTGTGTGATTAATTTTAATAGCCCGTGTGAAACAAATTGTGCATTTGTTCTACAATATGAAATGGCATGTAGAGGCATACGGGCACCTGATGGATTCAGTTCACCCAAGGATAGAAATCAGTTCATAGACAAGGAAAATAAAACTGGCCTCATTCATTAGAAATGGTAAATCCGGCGGGTCAAGACTTTTGGCTTAGAAGTTGTTCTCTTTGTCTGATCTGATTGGTTCGGCCACCTACTCAACTGGATGGACTTGTATCATTGTAGTGCTTGTGTGTGCAATTAATTGCCCTCTTCCACACTAGTACTTCAAAGAGTGCGGAGAGCTTGATTCTTGAAGATGCGGGGTAACTTATTACTCACTATTGTCATTCTCAGTCTCTATTTTGGGTGAGCCAGCTTTGGTAACAGTGTTAGTTTGGACGTTGTCTTTTTAGCTAACTTTTTGCTTGATCAATTTTTGCTGATTTGGCAATCACAGATGCTAAAGTTTTTGGGAAAAAGCTTTTAAAGTTGTTGGTGGTTTGGTTCTAAAAGCCATAATTTAAGAAATAATTCCTGCAGACGGTTTTTTTTATTGTTTTGCAGTCCATTCCTCAAACTTACTTTCGAGCTTGACAGTAACAATTTTTTTTATTTGTTGCTTTTGTTTTTCCAAAGCTACAAAATGTCTTTGCATATACACGTGCAAGTACGCTACGGACATACCTCACCTATGCACTTTTTTTTAACTCTTTTTTGTTTTGACTACTTCCCCCATTCATTTTTAAAAAATTTTCATTTTGACTTTTTTCATTCAAAAATTAAAGATTTTGAATAATGTATTTAGTTGTAAACTTTGAAAATTTTAAAACATACTCAGTATTTTTTATATAAAGGAAATGTTGAGATATATGAGAAACATAAATTACAAAATAAAAAATACACAGATTACCATAAATGAGACAAATTAAATTAAAATCATCTCTCCACTCTAAATTTCATCTTGCCTGGGTACTAAGTGCGTTGACGTCACCTGGAACATGGAATCTCTTCCACTAGCCTTTTTGGTGATAGAATGTCGAAGCCTCTAACATCCATATTTTAGAGCAAAATAATCGGTTGAATTATGTCACTATAAGAACTCAAACAAGGTAACTTTGAACTGAGTACCTAGACGAGAATAGGTTCTTAGGAACTAATTGCCGAAAAGAGTGAAACATAGCATGAATGTGAACACAAGGTGTAGAATCAGAGGTCCACTGCCCATAGGTACACACACTACGCATTACGTCCACCAAGTAGTTGTCGATAGATTATGGATCCGCTCGAGATGTGTGTCTAACAATGTATTGGTTGTTACCGTGCACTATCCACTTGTGCTTTATTTTCTCTCGATTGTGGAGAATGTTTGTTATTTTGGAAGTAATATGCATGTTTTGTTGTTGCCATTGAACCCCAATCTTATACTTTTTTTTTTGTAAATAATTCAACCATCTTGGCTGAGACGTAAACATAATGGTTGTGACCGGTGACACTCAACAACCTTTCGGCATGTTGTTAAAACTCTCAAAATTATTAGTGGCTAAGATCTTACACCATCAAAATAGAGAGTCCACGCGCTAGACGTATTTCATTCAAATACTTATATGCATTTCACTCATGTTTTGTATTTCGGTCATATATCGATCAAATTGTTCGATATTAGGGTTACTACCAATGGCACAAACTAAACGTTTAAGGTCATTGTTTTGGATTTCTGTGAAAATTGCTCCGGGCATGGCATAAACAAAAATGCTTCAATAACAACATGACCGTAGTTCGAGGGGATCATGATCAAAGTTGTTAAGGCGCCAAGGTGACACACACACACACAGATATATAGTACTCCCTCTGTCCCAAATTATAATGCATGTTCACTATTTACAGGGTCAAACTTCATTCACTTTCTTTCTCAATTTTCGTTAGCAATTTGATAAAATAAAGTACTATTGTCACTACTAGTTTTGTAGATCTTTTGATGTAGTATTTTAATATGTAATTTTTATTTTTTAACTATATACCATTTGTCATATAAAATGATTTGAAAATAATTTCAGTCAAACATCGTAAACTGAAACAGGCGTTATAAAATGGGACAGAGGGAGTACTCCGTAATTAATTAAAACATTCTTATCACTCAGCAAATTGCATTTCTATTTCGTAATAGCCAGATTATTATTGGACCACAATAACATTTCAAAAAATGCTAGGGGGGAGACCAAAATAAAAGGGTGAAAAAAAATATAAATTTGTGTCCAAACATACATTCCATAGTTTATGCCCAGAGTCAGAGAGCTGGTGACCTTTGGTGTTTATACAACAACAACAACAACAACAACAACAACAACCCAGTTAAATCCCACAAAAGTAAAGTAGGGTCTGGGGAGGGTGTGTGTACGCAGACCTTACCCCTACTCGAAAGTAGAGAGGCTGTTTCCAAAGAGACCCCCGGCTCAACGTCGAAAGTTGCATTGCTTGACTAACTGCTACTTCATTAATTAAAGAAGCGCAGACAGTTTAGAGATCCATTTTGATTTATTCTATCACACCCCAAAGCCAAAAAATGGTGAAATTTTGGCTCCATCGGAGATGATGGAAATACAAGGATCAAGATTTCAGGCCGGAGCTATGTAACTCCTGGTCCTGGAGTATGATGACGTTACAAGTGTTAATGGTCTTGGCATCGAGGAGGCCGTGATTCCATAGTTTGATCATGAATAGTCTCCACCAGCTGTAAACCACGCCACCAAAATGGAAACCCAGTTCAAAAGATATAGAGAAATTTAGGCTCCGTCTGTTTGGAGAGAGAGCATTTTTTGAGAAAACACTTTTTCCTCCAACCAGACGGAGCCTAGGGACGGATTGAATAGATTCATTGCAGAAATAAAAGGGCCTACCAAAGCACCATTGGAGCTTGCATAAAAAGTCTAATATGCAGTTTTGTGAAAGCCTCGCATGCCCATTTTATATGACACCCGAACCGGACCCTTCATAAAAGAAATACACTTTCAACAGTTAACTAACAATCTCTGCAATGAACTTCTTACTCGCAAGTGAAGATGTATGATAAACACATATAGACAGGGAAATAGATCTGATTTCTATGCTAGCACAAAACCCGTTTTGTAGCTTATGCAAGAAGAAATGCAAGAGAAAAATTAAGAAGAGTGAATTTCAAGGTCACCTATTCCTTCTAACAAACGAGTTCCATAGAAGCATCATGTGCTTCGCATCCTTGGATACATCAGTGAATTCAGAAAACATCTGCAATCAACACATTAAACAGAAATCATCAATAAAGATATTCTAGAACACTAAAGTTTGCTTCAACACCCATGCCAGCCAGGCCATTCAATTAGTAAATCCCTAACATTATGTTTGGTTCATAGAATTTGAAAGGGAAAAGAAAAGACAACAAGATAGGAGAACAATTTTTCTTGTTTGGTTAGGGAGGAAAAGAAAAGAAAAGTGGAAGGAAAAGAAAATGAGAATATAAAATATACTAAGAGGAGGGAAAACAGAATTCCTCCCATTTTGTTGAGGAAAATGAGAGAAAACCATTTTCTGTTCCTTCCAAATTCCTTGAACCAAACATAGTGCAAGTCTTTTTTCACACTTTCAAACACCAGAATAAAAGTGGCATGTTTCATTCCACTAAAGTCGGTTTCATCCACAGCAATCTAACTGAAAAAAAAACTACCCCTTCAGGAAAACAAAGGCAAAGTGCAGATGAAAAAAATACCCTTTGATCTTCAATATCTTCAATATCATAATCTGTATCATCCTCACTATCATAGTCAGAAAGCACTTCCTCCAAAGTCATTGGCTTCATCGACAATAAGTTCAAAAAAAATCAAATAATCCAGTTTGTGGCTAGTAAATGGCAGCTGAGTTGAGTAGGACAAAGGAAAATATACAAAAAAGTGTAGCATTACCTGAGCAGTTCGTGAGTGAAAGAATTTTCCTTCCTGCAAGAGTTTAAGGCTGAAAGGATATGAATTTTAAAAAGAGTTAAATGACAGTATGTGAATGACTTGCATACAGGGCTAAATCTAACTTTTCAGGATGGTTGTCAATTTAGTAGTGTCATCACTCATCACACCAGTAGGTCGTCAATAACAATATTCTCTCCCAAACGATGAAATTTCATTAGTTTGTATTTCATATAAGCTTAAAAAAAGAAAGAAGGAACCAATAAACATACTTATTTGAGTCACGATTGACTGATGCCACCTTCCCTGTGTTTGCGTGTTGAAGCTCTACAGGAGGTGGAGTCTGCAACACAGATTCTGGCTGCACAAAATCAGGAGCATCATATGAATCTTGACCTGGAACAGATAAGCATTGGTGATAATATTAGGACTGGATGCAAACAAATCTACAAACTTTGAAATCCTATCCACACATTACTTCTAATCCATATTCAAACCATTACGACTATAGCATGACTGGTTCTTTATAAGCAAAGCTTTGGGTTGTTAAGAAACGGTACCACAAAAAGCATTATTGTGTTGAAGCCCTTCAGTGGGTGGACAGCTTCCAGGTTCAGTCTGCACATAATCAGGATCTGCACGTTTATCTGTACCATCTGTAGGAATTTAATAAACATTACTGATGATGATTATGATGATATTAATAAACATTACAAGCTCTTCCAAAGTTGTTCAAACAGCTAGATGAAAATGTAGAAATTTGATCATCAATTTAGTTATCAAGATAAAGGACACGCCTGGAAACAGAAACTGACATTATATAAAGAGTAAATTCTATATACAATCTTTTATAACATCCTTTATAACAGGGGCCAGGGGGTTTTCCATATATAGTTCTCAATTCTAAGAAATTATGTTTGTGGTCCTCTATATTGGAGAACTATTCCATAATCAGTCCTTTGGACCCAAATATTGTTTTCCGCATATAGTCCACAAAGGATTGATTATGAAATAATTCTCAAATTTAGAGGACCACAAAAATAATATCTTAGAATTGAAGAGTATATGTGATAGCCCCATGTTATAAAAGACTATTTATAGAATTTACTCTTATATAAATGAATGGAAAACTTAAAACAGAACTTCCTAGAAAAACACAAGAAAACTAATGTAGTTCAGAGTTTCAGACTCAACAGCTATAATAAAAAAAGGTGTGGGTTAGTAAAGAAACCTACAATGTATGTCAGAATGTATGTGTGTGTGTGGTGCTAGAGAAATTTAATACACCAAGCAAACTCTTACCATTTGCATTGCACTTATGCTCAGTGACTTCTTTATGCATGTTCAAATCCAATACATGTGTACGTATCTGCTTTGCATTTTGAACCACATTCTGTAACCTTCTCCGCCTTAGAGACTTTGAACTGTGAATGGTGTATGATCATTCTCTTAATGATTTCTATTATATAGAAGCCACATAACTAAAATGAAACATGAATTTGTATGATTGATATCAATCATTAATACCAGAAGAAGAATGGCTGTTTCCAAATGTTAACACCATGACCAACAATCTGAGAATACCACATTAGAAAAAAAGATAAGTCGCAATTTCAAAAACATATTACCACTATATATCACTTGAATAACGTGTTGATTTGTTGAATGGTTGAGAGAAAAGGATAAGAAAAACATTGATTTACAGTAATGTGAATGTGAATGTATATAACACTATGAAAGAGTAAACGACGAGGGCATGATAGCACCTTAAATTTCTTTCTTTTAATTACATAGGAAATGGGATTTGTCTGTTTCATAGTCGTCAATCACAAATATTTTAGATTTGTATAACTGCAGCCCACAATTGGTCAATTAGACAACTATTTCCTGGGTGACATATTACAAAGCATTGAAAGCAATTCTTATTCTTTTTTGAAAGGTATGTGATGAAGAAAAGAGATAAAATGTTTCCACATTCTCACCTCAGGACTCCATGTTTTGAAATTCAGATATACATTTATGTATTGGTGTTCTTCAGTCACCTGGCATATATTTCGGTGTTACATTTAATGAAGGATTGATACTTGAACAAAATGACAGCAGACTGAAGTTTACCAGGCACTCAAATTTGAGAAGATCGTGAGACGCAGATAAGTGGCATTCGAGTCCCTAAACATAATCAAACTGAAGCTTGTAACAATCCACAACTACAGCTTAGAAAGGTTCAATTTTGTTTGAAGAAATATTAGCATGACGAAGAATGTTAGTTTATTACCTTAAAGTTTGCACATTTCATCAAGCAGAAAGGACATGAAAAATTCTCGGTTACTGCAAGATGAACCACAATTAAGTTGTTAACGTATAGAACATTAATATTAAACCCCTTTTCCAGGCAACATGCTTAGTCTATAACTCCACCTTCCCAATCCCAAAAGAGGAAAAGAAATAGGCTTGGTTTAACTGGTTAATGGTCTCATTTAGCACTGCAGGACATACTCTAATCAAATAGAAATGAGGAAGCTACCGATTCAGCACACAGTTCTTTATGTGATACTGATATTCATTGTATACAAACTCAAGTGTTTTGCAGAAATTTTAAAAGGGAAAGTGGACTAGAACATGATACCAACTATGGACAAAAACACTACAAACGATGTAGTATGAAATTTGCCGAAAGATAACAAAGTATCAGCTTTGTGGGACAAAAATAATGCTCCAAAATGTTTGCCGGAGTATGCTGGTGGACAAAAGTAGTATAATACATGACCTATTTCGTCTCGTCACACTAAAAAGTTTCTTTTGTATGCCCCTCAATTCCTTACGTAATCCATATTTTTTAATACCCACACCGCACTCTTAGCAAAGCTTTGTTGTTGTATGTTAATGGAAGCACAAGGGGCAAATTCAGATTTTGGTCTTCAAGTCAATGACTGAAGGAGAGCTTCATGGAGCAGACACGATATGTCTGCTAGGAAAGAGCCCATCAGCAGAGTACATAATAAACTGATGGTTGTAGTTGAGAATGGAGATCAGATTCCATTAGCAGAGTACATAATAAACTGTCAAGTACCATATTGTTTTTTGTCCACGGGAGTTGATACTTGGTTATGTTTCGGCCAATTTCATAGTTCGTAGTATTTTATCTAGTCTTCGATAGCTGACAATGTCCTAGTCCCATTTCCTTTTTTTTAAGTTTCAGTATATGACCCATCAACATACTTCAGGTTTGAATACATGGTTATACTAAAAGGTTATTCCCCTGCTTTTTTAAAACTTCTCTGCTGGCTGCTTGCATATGTTACTTCTAGAGTGATCCTCCCTCCAAGTCTACATTGTCTTCTGTTTTCCCTACTAGTATATTACTATAAGTTTCAAGATATTCAAACATTATCCTCAGGATATGGGCCCAAAAATACTCTACAAACTACACTCACACTTGAAGTTAACCTTTGTTAAAGAGCATCCCACATCGGAAAAGTGTGAGGAAATTAATCGGTATATAAGCTCTTGAGTTGAACTAACTAATAGATTGAATTCAATCTTTTAATGTGGTTCAGCTCAGATGTCTTATTACCCAATCCAGTTATCACTACTCCATCCTAAATTCTATCATGGTATCGGAGCAGGTTTTGGCCCACCTCGTTTGTCAAGGTGTCCGTCTAGACGTTCATTCCTAGCGGCCCGTTTGTCTTTAGCCCAGTGTTCCGTATGAAGTATGTACCCAACGGCCTATGGCCCATTGAACACGATTGCTCGTCTGGAAGTCCATACCTAATGTGTGAGGAAATTAATCGGTATATAAGCTCTTGAGTTGAACTAACTAATAGATTGAATTCAATCTTTTAATGTGGTTCAGCTCAGATGTCTTATTACCCAATCCAGTTATCACTACCTCATCCTAAATTCTATCATGTCAAGGAACCAATTCAACCAAAAGCTCAAGCTTGTGGTTGTGGCCCAGGAAGAGTTATTTATATTCTAACACGCTCCCTCACGTGCAGGCGTAGTCTTTTTCGAGCCTTGCACGTGAAACTTTAATTTTTTCTTAAAATTGGGTGGCGCTGAGTTTCGAACCCGTGACCACTTAGTCAACAAGGCTCTGACACCATGTCAAGGAACCAATTCAACCAAAAGCTCAAGCTTGTGGTTGTGGCCCAGGAAGAGTTATTTATATTCTAACAACCTTGAACAATGTTTGGACATATTAAACACAATCAGCTATTTTAAACAATACAAATTGGGGTTACTTTAAATAACTCAAGGGCCAAGTAAATGCACAAATTCCAGTGGTCATAGTGCTTGGTGCTCCTAAAGCAATGAAATTTTTTTGCCAGGGTCTTTTGCTATTACCAAAAATGTGTTGATATTACCTTCACTTGTTAATAACTTGCCGTCAAGTTGCCTATAATTGAAGATAACATTCCCACTCCTTAACCTGGAGAATGGAATCATTAAAACTTAAAAGGGTGAGAAACTTGCATACATTACAAAGAGAATGAGTTTTAAAAAATGTATATACTCCTTAATATTTATGGCACTGAGAATTAGTAAAGGAAAAGCACTCAAACCAAATGTTATTCTTAAATTTAGAAATAATAGTGATAAAGTAAAATAGAATACCATTAAAGAAAAGTAAAATACACAGAATATAGAAGCAAAATCACCTGAGTTATAATAGCTTTCATCCTAACAATTGAAACTTATAGCCTAAACTGAGAATTGTTAGACATTCTCTAACTTCCTATTCAATTTTATCATAAATATAATCAATATTAGTCATTAGTCACCTTCAAACATGAGATTAATGAGATATAACTGTAAATATGCTCATAGCAAGGCTATGTTTGCCACATCAAATTGCTTTTATAGAGAAACAAAACTTATCAAATAAGATGTGCTTGGTTGGAAGGGCTTATTCAATAAGCTCAAACTTATTTCTTCCACACACCCCCCCCCAGTACCTTTTCAAGTAAGTTTTGTGATTTTTTTCACTTATTAAGAGCTTGTTCTCTTCAACTTATTCTTATTAGTTATTATTATTATAATTATTATTCGAATCAGATCAGACTAAATAAAAACTTACTCTAATCAGATAAGAACCAATCAGATCAAGTGATATGAACAAGCCCTAAGTCTATTTAAACTTCCTCCTCAAAATAAAAAGTTAATGAATATATAATGTTGACATTTGGAAATTCATGTTGGGACAAAAATTGTCCCACACCAAAAGTAAAGAACTAAAGAAATAAATTCACCAAAATATGGAGTATCAAATATAAGGATCAACCTAGTTCATTAGTTAGCGGCATTTTGGGAGGTTCCATAAAACAAAGTTGCGAGGGTTTGGCCCAAAGCAAACAATATCATATAATACGAAGTTAGGGTGAGATACACGCAGTCCCAACATGTACTCTCCAAGCCCAGGTTCAAAGCAGACATGAGTAGTGAACTGCATTGTGTGAGTTCTCGGTGTGACAACATCAGGAATAGGACCAAATGAGTAGATTGATTGGCATGTCCCGCAAGGTGGTAGCGGTGATGCAAGATGGTTGGCAGATCAAATGGATTATCAGTGAAGGTGAGGTCACAAGTTGTGTGGTCCATCGTTTGAGGAGAGGTTTGTTGGGACTTGGGAGCAAACATTTCTCCGCACCGAAAGTGAAGAAGCTAATTGACCAAAATATAAGGTTCATCAGAACTCTATTAAAATGATGCTCAAAAACAGATCCAAGAGGATTTGGTCCAAAGCGGACAATATCAAATTAATGTGGAGTTAGGTGTAAGAATTTATGAATTTTAGCAGAAAAAAGTTGAAACTTATGAGAATTCCCTCTTCCATCCAAGAAAGAATCGCGTCCATACCATGAAGTTGAAATGACAGAAAGTCGAGTAACAAAATGGGTTCCAAATGACACTGTTTGTGAATGCTACTTTTAAAATTTAACAGAAATATTAAAACTGACATCTTACCGTTTAAATCACCGAAGAGAGATGTTAAACTTTGAAGGAGCCAAACGACGTTGTGTGACAAGCCCTCCATCCCCTACCCCTCAAGACCTAACTTCCAAACCATACACCTACTAAAAAATTCTTCTGCACTTCTTTCTCTTTGACTGCTTCCGTTGTTGTTGCCTTTGGTTTTTTGCATTTTATCTTTGAACACCTCCGATTACTACCACACTTTTGTAGACCATGGAGAGCATCGGCGCAAACGACATTGTCCAACATAAGAAACGAAGAATTCTCGACCAGACACAGAGGGAGGAGATCAAAAATGCAAAAATGATGCATGAGACATTGAGATCATAGTTATTAAAGGCGCTCGCCTCTCTCGCCTATGGCGCCTCAGGAGACCAGAAATTTCATTAATTCTCATAAATTCCAGCCTTTTCTGTCCAATTTCATAAATTCTTCACCGATTTTGTCACTTGGCTAGAAGGTTTTTTCTGTCCTTTCAATTTAATGGGAGGGGCGCAATTCTTTTCGGATGAAGGAGGGCCTTCTCATAAATTTCAAATCATTTTCTGCCCAATTTCATAAATTCTTCACCTAAGTACGATAGAAGAGTATAGTGATCAGCTGTGAATAAGGTCTAGCTTAACTGGTGTGTTAAGACCCTGACATTTATGTATGGAGATTTGTTTTCCTACACTTATATTACTTGTTCTAATAACATTTTACTCCTCCATTTACAAGCTTGTAATAGTGTTTGACTTATTGCATTTATAAGTATATGTGAATGCATTTATAACTTATAAGTATATGTGAATGGGTGGCTCACAAATGACTCATTTTTATGTGTATATATAACAAACAATTCAGTGGCAGTCTAGTGCAGACTATAGCAGTTGCTAGGCGAACTAATGATCGGACTAGGAATGGTCCAAACTCAATGGAATATGAGTTAGATAACGAGGGAGAAAATGTAGGAGTATATCGAAAAAAGATCACCTAGAGAGATTAGGCAAGGAATTGCTTGGATTTCCGGTGTATGCACAAGACTCATCAGGGTTTCCCTCTGTCACGCCCAGTTCTATTGCAGAAATTAACGCACAAAGCGGCTTCAATGTATCCTTTTCAACCTAAAAATTCAAATCATCAATCAAAATGCAGAGAAGACACTGTAAGAATCCAAATATCTATGGTTAAATGTTTGATATGAGAACAAGTACCAGGACCCCATGCGTGCGCGCGAGCCCGAACGCAGGAGTTACGCCTTCATAGAGGATCGGCTGCAACGAATACACATATAAGTCTAAAAGGTTGAACCAAATTCCTCATCAATTCGAAAAGTGATCGAATTAAACTCTCATTTGCTGCAGGATTAGCAAATTACCTTCAAATGGCAGGGTTCAAGATCAACACCTGCATAAAAGTCGGAAGTCTCGCCTAAGCTCCAGCTCTTGGTGGAAATCCATTTCCGGAGAAGCAAATCAACGGACAGCTTTCCGACCAAGCAATTGCCTTCAATGCTCGCTATGCTCGCCAAAAGAAAAGCTAAATCAAGATGACATCATTCAGGTTTCAAATGTAATAGTGGCATGGGGTTAGTGCCGCAAACTTACACGGAAAGGGCGATGAATCCGCAGAATTCCCGGCAAGTTTAGCTGCAAGCGGCCGCAATTGAATTGCGGTGATAATACGACAGGAAAAGAAGTTGATTGAAGCAAAAGATTATGAACGGATTCATACCAGAGGTGATGAAGATGACAGAGAGACGGGCAGTATCCATGTGTTTGAGTTCATCCTTTGTGGGGAGCAGGAAGTTTGCTGGGATACCAGTAGTGTATAGCATCCGTGGTCGTCCATAGTGGAACACCTCCAACTGTGATCCAAATCTAACTTACATGAATATGGAGTAATGAGGATTAATGTTCTATCAAAGAAATTGTTTTCACCCTAATTTTAATGCTCCGTGTTTAATTATTTCATCAATGAATTCCATTGAACTATGCCTCAAATCTTCATATCTGTTTTTAAGATTCATACATGGTAGGAAGGGTAGAGATTTGTGTAGGCGTTCAATGCAATTCAATGGTATCGGAGCGCAATTCGATTCTGGACTCATCGATTTGTGTAGCAATTCCGATCCAGACTGGATAAACAACAATCTGTCAATCCTGTCTTGTACGAGATGCCAATCAAGAATCGAACATGGAAAATAGCCGGATCCATCGGTTGAAGACGAACTGGGAACAACACATAGCATCGCAAAACCAGATGATTGAAGAAATACGAGCTGGACAACAGAATATGGTGGGGAAAAAATGAGGCGAATCTTGGAAAAAATCACACAGCTCTACAATTCATGCCAATTCTGAGAATGGATTGAATGGAAAAGGTGATAGAAATGCTTTTAAATCTTTGCCTACATTTGATGGATCTAACCCTAGGATTTGGGTCAAGAAATGTGCTAGTTGCTTCAAATTGGGGAAAGGCTTTAAAACCTCAGTTCAGTTAACAACAATGCAAAGAACCTTGAAACCCCATTGAAGTTGCATGGGAAGGCCTTAAAACCTCAGTTCATAGATGAGGCTGTGCAGTTTTTTAGGCTACCAGAAGAGGCATTTCAATCTACAAGGGAATGTATCTAAGACATTGTCATCAATGCCAACACTTACCACATCATTGTTTCCTTGTACTAAGAAGAAGGTAACCTACAGCAATAACAACTCTTTCACTGAAGGAAACAGTCAATCCAGCAACGAGACTTTGGAGATGACGCAATTCCTATTTGGATCTTCTTTATGGTCGCCATAACTAGACCTAGACCTGTGCAAACAAGGGTCTGCCCGTCCTGCCCTTCCAGCCCGCCCTTTTAAAAGGGCGGATATGGACAACCTTTAATACCTACATGGGCGGGCCGGCCCGAGCCCGAATTATATTTGGGCGGATATGGAAGTTATTTTTAGCCCATCCGGGCCAATAGGCCCGCCCATATTCATCAAAAATATTTACTTTATTATTAATTATCTAGCTAATATAATTTTGAAAAATTGTTATAGTTCATGTATAATGCTTGAATTCACTCACCTTTTTAAACAAAAATCAATATTCTTTTAATGAATTAGTATGATGGGTTTATTAATTACGCAACAATATCTCTGTTATGCTTTCTATGTAAATTTGGTGAGTGATGATTTTATTTTAAAGATTGAAAAAAGAGTTCAATGTTTTTTTTGGATTTTTTGAGCAAAAAAAATTTTCTTGGTGTTTTATCCGGGCCGGGCGGCCCGGTGTGTAGTTCGGCCCGCTAAGGTGGGCGGGTATGGGTAAAGAGTTTAGCCCATCAAATTCGGGCCGGGCTAGGCCCGTCCATGTAAATGGGCTAAGAATTTGTATCCAGCCCGTCCCAGATCCGGCCCGGATCCTTATTTGCACAGGTCTAGCCATAACTAGTCTTGACTCAACATTTTCTTTCTTAATGTTGGGCTTGCTCATTAACAATGTTATGTTGGGGAAGACGTGACGATTTTAATGGTGATTTTCATGGAAGTATTATTTATGACGACTCAAAAATCAAATATTTCCTACAATGGTACATAAAATGATGGTGAAAATTGATGAAACTGGGTAACAATATTCTTAACCTGGTATAAATAAGTCTAATAATAAACACAAATATAAGATTATATATATCAAATGGGTCCAACTAACATGTACTCCCTCTTTCTTGAAATTATCTTTTTAAGTATTATTCACACACGCAACCTTTATTTACTGTCTTTACATATTTTAATTAGTAATTTGATAAGATAATATAGTAAATGTCATCTAGTTTTGTAAAATTTTTTATGTAATTTTTTTAAATTATTTAATTTTTTTTTAAAAAAACTCTGATCATGCCTCATAACCTGAAATGAAGAGTTAGTTAAGAACAGAAGGATTATTATTCGATTTATTGCACCGATGGATGATGCCTGAGACCCATTCATGTGTTTGTTCTGTAAACCTCCAGTATTATCTAGTGTTTCGAGCATTTGACTAGATCTGATACAAAAGTAATAAGTCATTAATTGTTTATATTATTTAGTTAATTAGAAATTTTAATAGTTTAATTAGATATAGTTGAATTATTGTTATGTAGTTATATTTATAAGTTAATTATTGTTGAGTGAAATTACAACACTCCTTCAAGGTTCAAGGATTTCTTTTTTATTCTTTACTTTGATGATTTTATTGAACAAAAAACCCTTTAAGAAGTGTTATAATTCCACTCAACACTGAACAGTAAATATAAATATATAAGAATAATTAAACTATTAAAATATCTAATAAACTAAATAATATGAAATATTTAAGTCTCTATGAGTCAAACCCAAAACCTCAAATGTTTAACGAATGTGATTCCTAAATGTTATCTGATCAGGTTCTTCAAGAAAATCTTCACTCAATATTAATCATTCTTTCGATGTTAAAAAACTGCATTGATTGTACAGGTCTTAGTCAATTCGAATTATATGTAGACCAATCAAATAATATGTTATCAAAATTAGAAAAACGATCATTCTTGCATAGTGACTTCACTATTCATGTTTTTACTAATTACTTTTTCCATCTAATTTTTTTTTCTTTTACTTTGATCACAACATGAATAGAAAATCCTAAATGTACATAAGAGTTTAGTAATTTACCTCATGAGTAGCCAACTCAGCATGGCTGGAAGCTTTCATGGCTAAGAGCACCCAAACAGGATGCTCCCTTTGAATGTTGGGATTGGCATTTAGCAACACCGGTAGTACTACTTTCATTTGTATTCTACACATTTATTATTAAAAGGAAAAATAAATAAAAGGATACGTTACAATTATAATTGCATACATATATGCATGCTCGATCACATAGCTATATGTAAATGTAGTATCACATAATAATACTAAATACTTCATACACATATTACTTCCCCCAACATAGCTTACCTCCCTTTATAGCTTTCATGTAGTTTATAACTCAAACACCTTTTGAGAAATAATGGCTGTGACAAAAAGATCAAATAGAAATTAAGCTCACAATATAATTGATAGGTTCTGAGAACCCAAGTCTAGAGTAGAATCTAGAGAAAGAAATAGCTAAAAACAAACTACTTAAGAAGATATGCAATAAGAATATTCCTATATTATTGAGTATTATTGCGAGATTGCTTGTTTCTGTCTGTCCCCCTTCATGGGCTGGTGAGATATTTATACACTGGCCATATATCTTACAAGCTTATCGTATAGTTTTTGTAATATAATGAGCAAGACACGTATGACATGAGGCCCATTCGTACAAAGCATGTATTCTACAGCTACATGCACTGCACAGATACATTATACAGATGCATCATGCCTACAACTAGGCATGATGGATTGGACATCAATGTCTTGGAATCCCAAGCGGTAGGGACGACTTAGGGCAGGGACAGGGTGGTCATCCGACATGAGCCCATTTTCTGAAGGGGGTTCCAAATTTAATTTTTTTTGTATATGTATACTATAAATCTAACAATTTACTATTCTTACTACTAAAATGTTAATTATTATTAAAAAAATAATTGATAAAGTTTACTTCATTATGACACAATGGCCTATTTTTCCGTGTCGTGTCGGGCCCCTAATTCCTCGAGGATGGCCCCACCAACTGGCAAGCGCCTAGTTCCAAATTCTTCTAAGTTCCGAGGCTGATCGCGAGGTTATGGTAAATGTGGCCAATGTTCTGACTCGTCTTCACCGGAGTGCTCAGGCTGAATGTTGAGGTTGCGCATTGAGCGTTAAGGGCAAGTGTGGTCGCTTAGATATGTTCTTCTCTTATGGGCCTCAATTGGGCTTCGAGTTCTTACTGGGCTGAATGCCCCCATCCAGGGAATCTGTCAATAATGTACAAAATTTTGTACACAGAAACTTTTAAATATATAGAATTTCACTACCAACAGTCTCCAAAGATAGTAAAAAAACTACTCTGTATTAAACATTGCCTTATTTTTTGTGGAGATTTGCCTCCTAAAAACATTTCTACTAACTATAGATATACAATTACATATTTTTAAAATATCTAATATTTGAATATTCAAGTCCTTTGAAGATAATTAAATATAACTCCGTGTCAAACTAAAACTCACATTTTCCTTTTTTTCCATGTTCTTAAAGAAAATGAAATTTTGTGGTTGAGTCTAATGTAGAAGAGAAAGCGGGGGCAAAAACGTGGGACTTCTAGCTATTGTTGGTAGAAACAAGACAGAGATCCTTAAGTTCATTCAAAATAGGGTTTGGGCTAAAATACAAAGTTGAAAACATAAAATTCTATCCCAGCTGGATTGGAGATTTTGATCCTTAAGTTCATTCAAGATAGGGTTCGGGCAAAAATACAAAGTTGGAAACATAAAATTCTATCCCGGCTGGAATGGAGATTTTGATCAAAACATTGATATAGGCAATCCCAAGCTATGTTATGGCTCTTTTTAAATTATCAAGTACGAGATGCACAATGAGACTTTGTGGGGCTTCTCAAGCTCTTGGACGCGTCAAAAGAGATAAGAAAATTTATCTTACTTTACTAGTTATTTATGATTGTTTGATATTGAGAGTATTTATGATTGTTTGATATTGAAAGCAGATTTGCTGTTATCTCATGGTCTTGTATTAACAGATCAGTGGATCACGTGACTCATTTGTGGCTAATGCATCTCATTCTATTCCTGATTTTTTAGAGTGGGTGTATGTTTCTCCAGCATTTATTTGTGATGCTTTATGCACTGATGTTATGAATTAATATAAATTTCTTTTCAAAAAAACATTTTTTTTATTTTCAAAAACATTTTTTAAACTCAGAAAAGTAAAAATTGTTCAATATAGGACTAAAAGATCTTACTTTCTCTTATATAGGAGTACTAAGTTTTTTTTCATATGTAGGAGTAATTTTAATAAAGGCTCCCAAATTTACCCTTTTGCTAATTCTCTGCATCTCCCGCATGTATTCAATATAATCTTAGTATTTCCTAGCTTTAGGCTCCGTTCCATTCTACTTATCTTTTCTGATCTTATATGATCTTTTTTAGTTCTGATCTGATATGATTGGATCTGATTTTATTTAATTGAATCTGATCTGATTAATTATGATTTAATTTAAAATTCAAATCAATAATTTGATCTGACTTTATAATAACTTTTGAAAATTGTAATGATAACTCATATTATAATATAATCAAGGTTTTTTTATTTTATGATCATTTGTTAATGAAATAAAATTAGTTAATTCATATATTAGAATAATCATTCATATTATAATGTAATTATATAATGTAATAATATTTTTTCATTCATATTTTATAATGTAATAGCTTAAGAAACTCAAATTACTGGTAGTAATAAAAATGTATTTAAAAAGTAGAATTAGGTTCACTTTGTCAATGTATTTTTTTAAAAATTTCCAACGTCTAATAATTAAGGATTACTTTCTCAGTTTTATATTTAACTTGTTTCTAAAGTTTATTCTTTTTCATTTTTAAGAAAAAATTGTGCTTCATATCATTTTATTTTTCTCTACATAAATTATTATCGCACAAAACTTTCACTTTCTTTCTTCTTATATTTTTTCAATAGAAATTAAATTTATTTTTTGAAAGAATTGTACCAAGTGAAACAAGTAAAAAGTATGAAATGTAAAAAGTATGGAGTAATAACGATAATGATAATGATGATAATAATAATAATTCCTAATAATAATAATAATAAAATTTCTTGATTGGATCAAATCTGATATGATCTGATTGGATTTGATCTGATCTGATTTGATCTGATGAGATCTGATCAGATCAGATATATCTGATCTGATTAGATCTGTTCTGATTTTATTAATAATAAGAAAAATGCAGAAAAAATAAATTGAACGGAATGAGGCTTACGTATTTAAAAGATTTTCATTTGCCATCATGTTAATGAACAGATATAAGGACATTAACTAACCTAATGTCCTCAATGACATCATTTACAAAAAATTGTCCAAGAACAATATATGATGACCTTATGTCCTCATACATCACTATTCAAAATGACCCAAGTTATTTTTCATGTCATTGTTACGTAAATAAAATAGTAAATTCTATAAATGATCCCTAATTATATGTAATTTTCAATATTTAGTCTTCAATTATAAGATATTCCATAAATAGTCCTCAAATTTTTATAGTTATTCCACAAATAATCCTTTTCACCAAATATGACAAAATATTTTGAGTAAATTTTCAAAATGATTCTTTCTAATAAGGTTATTTCTCAAAGTAATCCTCAATACGTAAAATTACTAACGTGTTCTTTTATAATTGAGATGTGTTTCCTAAATATTCATTTATAAAAAATGCCTATTAATTAAATTACAGTTAAATAGAGGGTATTTTGATACTCTTTATTATCTAAACTATGAATAAGTCTTCAAAATAATTTTTGGTAAATTAAGTGGAAGCTAATTAGCATTTGAGGCTAAATTAATCTTTTTCTATATTAAAACTTTGGAGCTAATCGGACTAGTCCTATTTTTCAGAAGACTACTACTCATATGTTTCTAAATGGATATATATATATATGTATATATATATATATATACACACACACACACACATATATATATATATGTATGTATGTATGTATGTATGTATGTATATATATATATATATATATATATATATATGTATATATATGTATGTCTATATATATATATATATATATATATATATATATATATATATATATATATATATTGGTTCTGGTGAGAATGTGATCTTATGAAAGAAATAAGAATGAATCTAGTGCTTTAGATTGTGAGATCTAAGGGTCAAGATTGCATCAAAATTAGGTGCACCAAAATGATTTGAAAATGCGTCATGTTGAAAAGCACCACAATCCTTTGAAAATGCATTATCTCAAAATCTGAGTGCAGGATGCAATCTGAGCCGCACGATACATCAGATCCAAAGACTAGATTTTATTCTTATTTCTTTCACCAAGGTCCATTCTCACCTGAACCGGCCCCTATATATAGGTTCTGGTGAGAATGCAATCTTAGGAGAGAAATGAGAATGAATCTAGTGCTTTACATTGTGAGATCTAAGGGTCAGGATTGTATCAAAATTAAATGCACCAAAATGGTTTAAAAATGCATCACGTCAAAATGCATCAAAATCCTTTGAAAATGCACTATCTGAAAATCTGAGCGCAGGATACAATCTGAGCCGCACGATGCATCAGATCCAACGGCTAGATTTTATTCTCATTTCTCTCCACAAGGTGCATTCTCACAGGAACCGGCCCCTATATATATATATATATATATATATATATATATATATATATATATATATATATATATATATATATATATAGGGAATTTACTTAAATAGGGCTAAAACATAATGACTTTCTTAATATAGGACCATATATTTTTATTTTCCAATGGAGGACCATTGGTCATTATCTATTAATCATTATTTAAGTAAATGTTCACCATCACTAGACATTATTCCTCCCACTAGACATTATTAAGTACTATTTAGGGAATACAAAAGTTTAAGTTCTACATTGAAAAATGACTTATGTTTTAGTCCTATTTAATACAAATTTTCTATATTTTTTTTTGAGAAAAACAAGAAGTATATAGAGCTACTTAGTCACATACTTTTACAGACGCGCGAGCTTCAATAATGTTGTATAATTCAAGTGGTTTGCAGAAGATGGTAAGGCCCTCCTCCATGGGTGCTCCAATTTCCTCTTCTCTAGATAGACTCATCATGCAGATTATTGAATCTCACACATTCTGATCTCTTAATGAAGCCTGGCATGTTGTGAATAAATACTAATGAATTCAACTTTACTAAAACATGATACATGCATGTCACTATTTTGTTTGTGAACCTAACATTGTTCAATGTTAAAGTTACATAAACTAGTGTAGATTTAGCAAATATAGAAAAAAATGTGCCGATATAGTCATTCGGGATAGATTTAGCAATATCCTTAAAATGTCTAGTTTATTGTTTCTGATTATTTCGATGAAATTTCTATGGATAAAAGTAAAAAATTATGAAGATACCAAAATAAGAATGTTAAGTTTTTTAAGACCAAAATATGAGTACAATTACAATGTGATGTGAGAACTTATGTTGACATTGTGATGAAAAAGTAATG